CATACATAATCCCCTTCTCTCCTTTGCATAGTCTTTGTGGTAGAATTCTGCATTTGCACACTTCTTCAGTGTTTTGCTGCTATGTTTTTTTCACCTTGTGATGGATAGTCCAGCCTACTCCAATGAATGACTTTCTATTCTCGGCCAGGAATTCCCAGATCCTCGCTTTTAGTCTGTACCTGCAATTGTTCCACATCAGGTTATTTTTCCTACAAAGTTTGGCTGCTCTGTAAGGACAAAGACTCCCTGTAAATTTTGCATAATGTCTCGTACATTCCAAATCCTTTTCTGCCTTTAACAACTGAACTGTAACAAAACTTTGACAAATTCTCCATGAACATGGAACTGCATTCAAGATATATGGTACATCAATGAAAACTCTTTCTCTTTACCTATTAAAGGTACAGTATACAATAAATAAATTCCAGGCCTCCAGTAAACCCGCACATCTCCCAATTATGTAATCCGTGATGCTGTACTCCAGTCTGGTGCAAAGACCTCTAAGCTCTCTGTGCCCTCACTTGCTGAAACTTTCCTCACAATTTTTTTCATTCATTGGATTATGCTGCAAAAAACAAGCAGGAATGGAAAAAAAATGTTTCTTGTTTCACATTCATTATATATGTCCACCATACTCCAACAAAAAGCAGAAAAGCGAAAACAAGACAAAATGAAAGAGAAAATATGCTACTCGGACCTAACCTCCACCTCACGCAGTATTCTTCTATACATTGACCATGTTCCAAACAACAAGCAAGGAAGAGAAAACAAGAAAACAAAAGACCACAAATATGCTAATATTCTTGGCTTCCCACAAACCTGTTTAAAAGGAAAGCACCAAAGAAAGGTCTTTTTTCCAATTGCTGAAGTTCATAATGAGCAATCTGTGATCAGCATGCTTCCACAACTAGTGATGTCATTCAGCACACAGCGAGACAGAAGGACCCCTAGGCCATAGCTGCTATCAACCCCAGGACTGACCACTCTACAGTACCTTCTTCCAGCATTTTTCGTCTTTCAGTGTTCTTTTTTAGTTATTAATTCTGCTTCTTTCGATTTTTTTTCATCGTCCTTTATTCACTCCTCAGAACGTTCATTAATTTAATCTTGGCTATTTTTTCCACCCTCTTTTGGTTCCGTACCCCAGCGCCTAACGTGGCCCCTGATTCTTCCCTCTTGGCCCTTGCATAATGCCATTTCCTCAGCTACAAGATCCTATCATCAGCTCAGTCAGCAGGCATCCTGTAAGTTTTAATTATACCCTTCCTTGTGCCAGTATCCCAAGAATGCATTTCGGTTCCAGTTTCTTCCCTTTCAGCCACTGCTGTTCATGATGTTGCCTTCACAAACCATCACTTTTGGTGTCCTTTACCCTGGGTTTATCTTGAGTAAAAACCCATAATCAATATTCAGCTGACTGGAGGTGGGGGGCAACTATTGGCCCAGAATCCCCAGAGGTTTATTTTCTACCACCACAAGTTTTTGTTTTCTTCTCCACTGTGCCTGCATGGTTATATTCCTACACTGTCAACCACCCAATGCTTTTGTAATGAGCCTTAATCTGTTACTGTAAGGAAAATTTTAACATTAGATGATCAACAATTAAGTTACCTACATCAGTCTTTAAGAACCTCTACTCCATTATCTTCAGCTTTACATTTTTCAGAGAGCATTTCCCATTGATCCTCTTTTTGTAACTAGTATCTCTGCATGAAGTTCTTACAAACTCTGGATTTGCTTCTGGACAGTTCTCTGTCCTGATTGGAGTTGCTTCCTCAGCTGCTCATCAAGGCACTCCTTACTATCACATTTGCAGGTCATCAGAAGCCATCCTTGCTTACAAAAAACAAAACAAAACAGACACCCTCAAACAGGCACTCTTCCAGCTTTCTTTCTGTGTGCCAAATCAACCAAGAGTTTAAGCCGTACATCTCAGAAGATTTCTCCAACCTTCTCTATATTTTCCCTTATTCTGCAATGGTGGTTAAGGGTCCTGTTTAGTTCTTTTTGGGGATCCTGCTCTTCTTGTTCTATGGCCAGGAGGTTCACCCTCGGCCAAGCAGGTTAAGCCAAATGTAAAATTAAGTTTTTAATAAAAGTTTGGGAAGGATGACAACAGCAAAGTTCAATTAGCCTCAGCTGTCAGGAGTTTGTAATCAATCCTGATGTCATTTCATTGAATAAAACATTATAAATATCAGGTGGGTAGCTGCGTCAGCATGCGTAGGCTGCAAAGGAACAAGTAATAGGTTTATTCCATGCTGAAAAAAAGAAGAAGAAAGAGAACACAACGTTTCGGCCGTGGAGCCTTCTTCAGGTGTGAGAGAGACAGGGCAGTAGGCAAAGGTAAAGTAGCGGGAGAACAAAGGTTGGGAGGGAGGAGGAGTGAGAGGCGGGAGCAGGGGACAGAAAGAGAGGCCAATCAAGAGGTGTGAAGTCAGAATGGGTGCAGAGAGATAAATATCAGACACGATCCCTTTTTTTTCCCTGGCATGTCTTTTGCATCCCATCCCATCCCCACGCAATGTTCATCTGTGCAGCCAGGAAATCAGACTTCAGCCAGGTGGGCTAGGCCAAATTTACTGTGTCTAAAACATTCAAACCTTTCAATGTGCTTATTTCTTGGGTGTTGTCACTCTTAGTGAAATGTAAAACAGAAGGCTCAACAACTCGAAATGTTGTGTTTCTTTTCTTCTCTTTTCAGCATCCATTACTTATTCCTGTATAATCTGATGTACAGGTAGTGAATATGTTGCATAGTTATACTGTTTCATTTCTGTCTATGGCATTGTGCTGAAAAACAAGAAATTGTAAAGAAGAAACAAGGTACACTTCTCATATGGAAGGAGTGTAGATTGACAGCACAAAAAAACACTACACAAGCAGATCACATACTTATTTCTATCCTTTCATCAGAAACTGATCATCTGCAGAAAAAAATCTCAGACCTCCAACTTTTCCACTATACATTGAAATTCAGGATTACTGTCTTAAATAGTGATATTGAATTAAAGTTGTATTACAGCTTTCTGACATTTCTCCACATGTCGGAAACTCACTGAAGACATTAACGAAATTTCACTACACTGTACATTTACTATTTAAACACTTGTTCATTTTTGTCAAAATGTTGGCTGTGAAAAACTTTTTTGGGAAAAAAGCCAAAAAGATACCATGAGCTACCATGAGCTGACAGACTCTCAGTGGGTTTTGGATTTGATTCATTTGGATTAATACAATGTGGATCTACTATGAAAGTGAAGCTGTTGCCTGAACGTGTGCAAAGTGTGCTTGCATTAGTAACCAACTGCAAAAGAGAGAACTGATGCATATTTCTTCATAATGAATATTGAATAAACATGCAGGTGAAATTCAGATTCAAAATCAAATTTGAGGTAAGCTGGTTTATCATTATTTAACTACAGCCTGCCATGTTAAAAAATATAACTGCCACGAGTTATTTTTTTTTTATATGCTAAACTTAAAAGTAAATATCTGTACTTACATCTATAGTAGAATGTTGTTGACTCACAAGTCACTTAAGAGGAAAGTAGTCAATTATAGTATAATTATAGTCATGATTATAATTATAATCCCCTAATTATTATTAAAGTAAAGAACTAAAAAAAAATAGATTGGTCTCATAATGTGGTAGCCATAAAGTACCTTAGGGTCATGTTTACTGTGGAGCACAAAAAGTGACCTTGTCCATAATTTTTAACCTCTCTTTAAGATAAAATGGAAAATCAGAATGTTAAAAAGGTACAGTATGTGAATACATACAGTACTGTAAGGCTTTGGCAAAAATCTGTCCTTATTCAATATCATTCCTAAAGATTTAATAAAAAATCTTTTTAGAGTGAACATAATGATTGTTATCATTCACATACTGTATAGAAAACTGTAACTTCACTTAATAGCTAAATGCAAAATGGTTTCAAAATTTGTTCTGCATATACTGTCAAGATTACTATGGAACAAAAATGCCCCACTCTGCTCTATTGAGAAACATCCTTGTTGTAACCTCTGACATGACTTGATACTGAAAATAAATTGGCTTGGCCTATAGTCATTGTGTCTGGCTGTATCTGTTACTGATATTGCTATTAATGACTATACTTGTTATTATTCTTGTTATATCTGAAGCATAGCAAAATTCTGTGTATTAGTTGGTAGGGTGTGCATAAACAACTTTTATACTTTAACCCTTTATAATAGTTTCTCCAGCCTTGATTTACACCTTTCCTTCGGAGACAAAATACACTAGTTTTCAAAGCAACCTAATTATATGCAATCCTAAACACAATTTAAAGTTCATTTATTCTGACTTTTTCCTTAAGAGAGTGCAATGAATTTCTGCTTGAAAATGAATTTATTGGAGCAGAAAATTAGTACCCCTGACCTTGAAATATATTCTTGAGAGTAATAAACATCATGATTTATTTATACCCTTCAAAGATGAAAAGGAGTATTTTAAGGGTTATTTTCAAACAGCTCCATGTGCAAGGAAACTATATAAATGAACTGAAGGACCTTTTTAAGTGGGTAATTTTCTGATGACTCACCTTACTCTTCTAACAGCACAAGGTGACAAAATTCTAAGTGACTGTGAGATCCATTTTTAATTGCATCTTCACACAAAATATGAAATGCTGTAATATACTGTATATCCCTACTTTAGACATTGAATAGTTGGCATTGTAACATACTGTAACACATCTTGGAATGAACCAAATATAAAATATGCAAAGCAAAAACATTAATTTTTAATAAATTAAATAGTCTTCGAGTGTCTCAAAAATAACTGTAAATTGTTGCTCTCAATTATACTGAAGGTTTTTTTCTTCTCCATACCTTATTTTATGCACAAATATTAATCTGAAATTCACTCTGTATCCTCTGGATACTTAACCTCCTATGTAGAGTCTGACTAGTACCTAAAATTTTTCACACCACAAATGAAAAATGAAGTAAACGTGTATGATACACGAACGACTTACCATTGAAACTGATGTTCAGCAAGTAATCTCTGTATAGTTTCTTTCCATCCAATGGCTTCATGGCGTCACACAGCTGGGTAGTGTTGGAGCACAAGGTGCGCTGCATTTTGTGTAAGGCGTGAGCCATAGCGAATACTGCATTCACCACAAACATAATTTTGGATTCCGGTTCAAAATTAGAATTGTCTATTGCCAGGTGTTTGTCACAAACCTTCTGTTTAGCATTTCCATTCTGCAGCAGGCACTGAAACTTCTGCTCCCAGAAATCCTTGAACCATGGGTTACGTCTGTTGTTGATGGGATTGAGATACTGAAAATATCTGTTAAACTCCTTCACAGGATGAGCTGCAAGTTCTAATGTTATTGCTCCATTTGCTATGTTCTCATTCCCCTTCACCACACTTTCTTGTGCCCCCCACCCGTCGCTGGCAATCCATGTGTAAGATGCATTGAGTCTGTTGGCAGAAGCCAGGAGTTCCCTTGTATCATCGCTGCGCATGAAGAGCACAACCACTTTTGCGTTGGGCTTCTGAAGCAGTTGACGAATTATGGCATCGTAAGACTTCTTGACATTTGATCTGCCCACTTTCTCAGATGTGGCAATACATATGTTACGCAACCTGGCTTCTTGTTCAAACGCTTCAATGCCTGTCTCTCCATAGTCTCCTTCAGATGCCACTGTGGAGACGTACGTCCAGTTGAAGTATCTCAGAATCTCGGCCATGGCCTTGGCCTGGTAAAAGTCAGGTGGGACTGTCCTTGCGAAATAGTCATACCTGGATTTATCACTCAGTTTTGCACTAGTAGAAGCATAGCTTATTTGAGGAATCTGAAACAATCTCAGTAAATTTGCAACCTGGGGGAAGGAACAAAGAATTAATAATTAGAAATGTTATCTGAAATGTCTTTCAATTGATTGCTTTTTTTAACATGTAATTCATACAACACCCAACCAATTAATGTGTGTTGTGCTTAGTTATGCAGAGAAATATACTGTAGCATTGTTTCTCATTAATCTGTGGAGCTCCACCCATTTTACTGTATGTAGCTGAGGGGATGATGTGAGTATAGTGATGCCAGTGATATATTGGTGCAAAGTGAGAAATGCTGAAGAGAAAGGATTAATGACCTGTATTTTTACAAGGTCAAGAAGCTTTTCCAGTGACATCAGTTGGGTGTTGTCTTCTTTTCAAGACAGTGTTTCAGAACTTGAGTGCACACAGTGCACAGGATTTATTTTCAAAGGTGAGACATATTTTGAAACCATTCCATATAACTAACAATTAGTATAAATTGTGTTAATCTTTCTGATTTTTTTTGCTTCACTAAATACCTATATAACCTCCAAGCTTCATCAATGATAGTCCTAGGTTAATTTATGAATAACATAAATTATTATATAAGGAATTGTACAATCCTCAATATGTTTATAGGTAAAAACATGCACTCCATTTTGCAATTTGTAGAAATAAACACTGGTGTGACATGGATGCTGAGTGTTTAATACCGAATAAATGGTTCTATTTGCTAGGTCTCGGTCTCTTAGTTGGCAATAATATATCTCAGTTTTAAGGAGTAAATAATAAACTATAAAATTACATTTAAAAAGTCTGATACAAAGCAGACGATCAAAATAAAGCTGCCTTCAGCAGAGAGAAAAAACAAACAATAGCAAACAAAACAACTAAAACAATGACTAATTGTTTGCATTGTCATGCTAAATAACAATACTTATCTAACTAGAGTATCTAGTGAGGTCAGATTCTGTCTGGATTTCTTCCAGAAATTAAAGTGATATCTTGAATGGTAAAGAGATTAAGGATTCCATTGCAGATAGGGAAAGCAATCTTTTGTGTCACACAAAGAACAGAGTGAGAGGGTTTTATGCTAAAATATGCAAATACCTTAAATTCTGACACAAATAGCTGATAGAAAATAGCACCAGCACAATACAAAAATTCCTAGTCCAGTTGGGAGGATGGGCAGGAGATGTGGGTTGCAGGGTGCATTTTGAATGGAGGCTGCCAAGAGAATACTCAAAGCCACAGACCTATTAAATAATGTACCAGTTACTTTGTAGTTTAGAAACTAAAGGTTTCAGCTCATCTTAGTCAGGTCAGGTACTGAATGTGAATACAAGACATGTCTTCTTTCAGCACAGTTCATCTGTAGAAATAACAGCAATAATAATAACAGTATTGGTAATGCTACTGCTAACAATAATAATAACACAGATTAAAAGGATATTTTTGGAGGTAATGCCATTTCTGTATTTATGCACTAATTTAAAAGGCATTTTTTGTTACTCTTGCTTAATTTTCACACATTATTGTGTGGCATGCCACTACAGAATTACATTGAAGCTGCTACCCTTAATGCATTATTGCTTAGCTGAACTGTGCTGAAGCAAATTCACTACATTTATGCTGTGTAATATGCTGTACAATATGCAGTGAAAGCACTTAATACAGTTACCAGTTTGAATTGTTTTGATTCGTATCTGAAGACTTAATAGCTATAAAAACATGCAAAGATTTGGTTTGTATATACTGAAGTGCAACTTCCATGTAGATTTTTAGTTTATTATGCTGAAATGTGTGGCATACTTGTTATAAAATAATCTCCAAAATGTAGCAGTGCTTTATTGTATAACTTTATCTAAATGTACTAATTGATTAAACCAAATAAGTTTCAGGAAGATATACATGGAAATGTAAAACATTAAAACACTGCTCCAGTATTTATAATACTCATAATTTGTCTTTTTACAAACTTCAAAACCTTACCTGTATAGAAACACTACTGTAGGACCCTCCAATCACACCTGCTATCACTAAAGGGCTGTTGTCTTGGATAGCATAAGACCCATCAGGACAGATAAACTCCGTTTCATCTACTTTTGTCAGGGATGCCCTGACAAATTCCAAGGACTGTTCTAAAGCGTAGGTATCTCTGGAACATGTATCCAGGATGTGCACACCAAGCAAAACTCCAGGTAGTAAAGATTCATCTCTGTTGATGGAATCAATTGCAAACAGCATGGCTTCCAAACGCTGGATTCCTCTCTCTTCATTTATTCTTCCACATTCGTCCATTCCCATACCTTTTTCATGGATGGGAAAAAGACCTCCCAAAACAAGATCTCCATCTATCTTGATTTCTTTTCTAACAAAGTTTGAGTCACTTAGTGAAAGCAGGCTTCCTCTTGAGAACAGGATCAGGAAAAGAGCCTGGAGCTTGGATATCATTTTTGTAGAGGATTGTGTTACAAACTGTAAGACGCATCAGAGGTAGGACAGCTTCTTTTTGCGGTCCATGGGAAAGTCACAGAGTATTCAGACTGAAAAATCATGGAGAAGAAGAACTTGCAAGATTCAGAAAAAGTCCTAGGAAAAGTAGCAAATACAAATCACATTCAGATATTTATCAAGAATTAATAAACATAAACCCAACATTAAAAATAACAAAATATACAGTAATAAGGTTAACCAGAAACATGATAAAACAGCCTGTGTTTTCACCTTCTCCATTCTTAGGGATTAAAATTTTACTAGTAAAAGAATGTCCCTCTGCATAAAATGCAAAGAAAATCGATTGCATAAGAATTTACCCTTTTTGCTATGGCAAACCTTAATTAGTTCCAGATTACAAATTACTTTGACAAGTCACATCATTTGCTGAATGGCTTCAGTCTGAGTGCAATAATAGTGTCCAGCATGATATCAGAATAAAAACACCTGACTCTCTAAGGACCTTCCTTCGGATAGTGAATTAAAAGCAATGATTATAATATTAAGACCAAGGAGCTTTCAAAACAACTCAGGGATAAATCATGAAGAAACAAAACGTGTTTTGTACGAGACACTCACAAATAAGGCCATCCCTCCAAAATGATCAGCCAGACAAGGAGGAAACTGCTGAAAGATGCCACTGTGAGGCCAACGATGATGTAGAAAAAGATACAGGCTCAATGGCAAAAGATTATGTTCATGAGTCAGCAATCTCAGTCACATAACAAACTGAGTGGAAAGTGGAAACCATCTCAAATTCTGCATTTTAATTTTGCACTTAAGTGTGAACGTGTGAAGAAGATTTTGTGGTAATACAAGACAAAATTGGAATATTTTGTTTTAAATACAATGTATTAACTCCAGTGTAAATCCAACACAGCACACATTAGTTGACACAATGATCCTTACTGTAAAGTACAGTAGCATTAATAAATGGAATGTGATGAATTCTTTTGCACTGTATGCAAAATACACTGTGCACTTTGTGCACTGTAAAAAGCAGAATGTAGGCTATTACCTCTATTCACTTAAAAAAAACAACACATTTCTTTGTCATGAGTTATAATTTCAAGTCCAAAGGTACTTCTTAGGTAAACACTATAAAATGTGAGAACAATGATTAATTTCATATAAAAATTAACAAACTGCCATCCACAGTGGATTATTTGTTTAGGGTAGGTTACTTTTTTTTTTGCTCTAAGCCTAATATTGAAGGAATGGACTCAAAAGGTTTAACGTTTGAAACAAAACTGCCTTCATAGTACTAACCTGTTTTGTTCCAGTGTATTTATTTTGTGCTCAATTAATAAATATGACAGGAAACATTACAGTATATGTGGATAGTCACTAATGGAGATCTACAAAAAGATGTTCTTTAAATTAAATGTATGAGTAATTTACATACAAGGGAAATAAAGTGTTCCTTATTTTCAAATTATTTTATTTATAGACATTAAAGTGATAGGACAAGCACTGAATTGAAAGAATAGTATTTTGTAGAATACACTAGCCATGTATGAATCAGACCAGATTCAGATTAATGCCTTTTTTGTGTTGATCTAGAAACTTGGCAAAGCCTTCTTAATCTCATTTCTTTTCACAGATTCTCTGGTTGATGGTGCATTTTCATGTCCTGTGAAACACAACTAGGCTTCATTGCGTTGGCAACAGCACAAAGTCACATTGGCTGCCCAAGGAATTATTCTTCCCTGGGATGACTCTGAACCAAAACTGATGCTATCTTTTCAGGCTGCAGAACACACGGCCTTTTCTAACACAACATGCTTTTAAAGAGGACCTGCTGTTATCGCTAGCTGCAGAAAGGATTTCACGTTAGGAGTCGAAAGCAGTGAAGCAAACAGAAATGGCAGTCAGGAACAATTGCTGACTGACTCAAAAAGAGAATATGTTAAAAGGCTTTTAGAATTTTGCACTGGTTTTCTTTGTGTAGTTTGGATGGTTCTATGCTGAACATATGTCTGCGCTATAAAAAACAGTCCAGCTAAAAAACAATGGCACTGCACACATCTTGAGATGCACTGTTAAATCATGCATGCATGTTCAACCAGCCAATACATTTTTTATGTACCTGTGACATGACATTGTAACACTATTGAGAGAAAAATCCTCCCACGCCATACTTTTCCCTGCCTCTCCAAAATCACAGCATGGAGGCTATGAATGGGGACTGCTGAAAGCAGCAGCTAATCATGGAATAATGTCACATGTATGAAAGCTACCAGCTTCTTTGGAAAATAAAATGAAATGACTAAATAACCTTGGGGGTCAGTGGAATACAGGGGCTACATTCATTAATAAAGGTATGGGAAGCACAAACTACTTGGAAGGAATATATAAAGAGGAACACTTGCTGCAGTAGAAAATCACATTTTTTACAGCGAGGAAGTTCCATCCTTGTCACTGTTCTTTAAAAGTCCACAAACCATAAAAATGAAAAAAAAAAAAAAGACGTGAAAAAGTCTTAAAAATACATTCGAAACAAAGCTGACTTCAATTACATGAATGTGTAAAACACAATTGACGAGTATGGTCACCTTTAGTACAGTAGTTGAGTATCTTGAATATCAAATATGCTAATATTTGGGACCTACAGGCAAACATTTCAAGTTGAACATTAAGTCAGTTCCACAGCAGTACAAACAGCATGACTATAAGCCACTTTCTAAACAGCTATAATTGTGTTATCACTGTATGTACAAGTACCTGTACTCCATTTACTGAATGAATTCCACTCTTGTCTTGTATCATCTGGCATTCTTAAAGTTCCCTTAATTCAACTTGTTATACATTTTCTCACCTTTCTACCTGATCTGCTGTGCGGTTGGGTTACTGGTGCATGCAATGGCTCACCTAGGAGGTTGGTAGACAAAGTGTGTCACCATCTACATGCAAATTGCTTTAAGATTCTCTAGGATAGAAATTGTTATAAATGCACACTTTTTATTAAGAAATGCACATAATTAAAATCATTACAAAGTAATCTCTAGATTAGGAAGGAAACAAATGTGTAAAATGCCACAGCATCTGAAAACAAACAACCACGATGTTATAACAGATTGTCACTTAGCAGATCCATGTGTTCAAAGCAAATTATAGAGTCTAAGGTTGATCTGCATGTTAGCAAAGGCTGCTGCAGTCACTTACAATAGAACCTGCATTTTGCAATACACATGCAATAAGCAGAACAAAAGAGGGCTATGTATGGTTCAGGGTAATATACATGGAATCAAAGGCAGCGTCCTGATATAAAAGGGAAACCTCATGCTAACAAGCCCTTTTCCTTAACCACTGGGACTGCCTGCTTTCCTAGACCACTGTCACATTGACAATGCTTTCTGTTTTGCTGGGCAGCAATGATATTGAGGATCTCAAGGAATAAAATTGTCTTATTACACTTAAAACAATCTGTTTCCAGTTCTTGAAATGTCCTCATTCATTTTATTTTCAACCATTTACAGTATGACCTATAAACATGGACGCCTACACTCCATTCTTTACACCTCAGATGCACATTCTGTGAAGGTGCTAAAATGTTCGAAAGCTTTTGCAGAGTGTATTTTAAAAAAATCCAAAAGGCTAAAAATACCAATGAGTGGAAATTAGATTGCAATTAATTTTTTTCAAATAATTTCTATGTGCTGTATTATGGTCTTTCAGAAAAAAATGATTTTTGAAAGTCTTCTGAAAGTGACACTGAGCATTTCACAAAATTAGTTCACAATGCATTATTTTAATTTGAATATGATGCAAATAATAACTACATTATATTTAATGTAAATGTGCCCAGTACATATATAACGTTTTTCTAAATTATACATGTCTCGTTTAAGCTTATTTTTTCTGTGTTTTTGTAAATAAAATGTTGTTTCATTTGCATTTTGAACCTAATTATCAATCTATAAACTTTTAGAAGCAGAACAATTCAAAGTGTATTTTTACACAAGCTTCACACAGTGAGTAATGGTCTCTAGCTCCTGCTTCTAACTCATCTTGTGTGAGAGGCGAAGGCTGTTGTTTCATTAGTGTATTGCCTGAGGTTTACTTGGAAACCTCTGATAAAAGGACGATCAACTGCAAAGTCTGTGCATTCTTTTGCTTGTGTGCTAATTTGTCAACAGAGTCAACGGATTACAAGTGTGATTATTTTTACAGTGGTTTGCCTCTTTAGAATAAAGAATGAACGGGAGTAAACTCTCTTCTACAAAAAAATAACTGCAGTTCTTCCAGAGATATACTGTATTTATCTTAACAATCTTGTGATTTTATTATCTTATTTTGAATTTGCTGTGTCAGTCTTTTTCCTCTCCATATTTTGGTGCAATATTTTTAATGATTTATAACTGTTAATGTGTTCCTCTGCAGCATCACCTTCTCATACTGTCTAAACTATAAGGCATGTTTGATATCACCACACCATCACCTTATACACAAAAAGTTGCTTGTTTTTTTCAGCATCTAAAGTGTATTTACTGTACATGCCAGGTGCACAAAAAAGGAGGGGTGACAAAGGTTTATTTAAAATAGAGCAACAACATTTAACTTTACACATTCCACTGAACTAATACAGTATAATTTGTATTTGTAATTTACATAAAAAATATATAACATACAATTACTGTTATTAAATGTTTCGGAATCAAATATTACATCTTTGAGACAAGAAGAAGACTGGCTGGCTGTATCAAAGAACATCTTAGAGTTATGAGGATCAAAGATCTTCCCAATAGTTCGCCATTTCATCTTGTCAGGTTATGGTTACATTGACCTTTCTGTCTGCATCCTTCCACAGGGATTTAAAGACTCCTTCTCTCGAAGCCAAAATTAACTACAGCAGCTTCACACCTCACACCCCAGTGATCAACTAATTTATTTCTAAATATCTCTGTTTATTTATGAATTTATGCTTCCTTGGAATTCATGTCCTGAATTTCCAATCTGTATGGGCCCCTTTTCTTCCACTATCTTCCATCTATCTACTCTCACCTCGTCTTTTGTTCTCCTTATCCTCATATTTCTGCTTGCACTCACTCCCTGACGCACCTGAAGAAAGCTGAAACTTATTGTCTTTTTTCATT